CTTGTTCTTTCTAATCCTAAGAACAACAGCTCAAATAAATTAATACTCTAAAATGGTGATATGGAAATAGAGATAGAAAGAGATAGAGCATTGCCAATCATTTAGCAATTGCCAATCATTTAGCCATTATCTGCTGAGACCCACTGTGCATTCAGCACTGTGTCACATATGAATAATACAGGATTCCCTATGCTCAGGGACCTTCAATCCAGTTAGGAAGAGATTTTTCAAAAATGTAGAGCCCAATAGAAGTTATATGCCTCTGTGCACGGCTGAGTTACATGCTCTCCCTCTCTACTTCCGCAGGAATTAACTCACTATGTAATTAGTGGCTTATTAATATATTTGCCTTCCTACATTTAGACTGTAACCTTCATGAAGAGAGGGCTAGACCTGTCTTTCAACTTTTTAGCTTTAGCATTCGTCACAGTGTTTGACCCATAGTAGATGTTAAATAAGAGTTTGTAGAGTAAATGCATGAGGTACAAAATTGGTTGATATAGCTACGTGGTAACGAATTTGAAAGGGAAGGGGATCATGAGGAGGCTAGAGCAGACAGGAAAAGCATCATGAAAGAGATGAAACTTGAGACTTGGTCATAACGAATCATGTGCGGGGTGGGGAGAAAGAAAATTCCCAGATCAAAGAGTTGAGGATGGTGATGTGGGGAAATGAAGCCATATCTTAAATAACACTTGTAATAAATGATTCAGCTGCTAAAACAGTGACTGAGAGTGTTGAGTGTGTAAAAGAGGTGTTGATGCTTTACCTAAAAGAAGTAAAGCAACTTGGCAAGACTCCCACCAGCTGCTGAGGACTTCATAGCTAAGTGCAGAATGCCTTTGTGGGAGAGGTGCCCTCAGATAGAAGGCTATTATTTATGGAGTTTCAGTACATAGGATAAAAACAGGGGCCTGGCTTTGAGTTCCTACGGGAGGATCTCCCATTGGAAGGTCTGCTCACACCTAAACTAAGGGCAGGAAGGAAGGAATGTGCTTTGTCGGGCAACTTAAGGACAAAAACTGTCAGGATCTCAGAGCTGGGTTCCCTATTCTGCTACTTTAGCAAATCCCATAACCTCTCCATCTTTGTGCTTCCTGTTACACTGATATTCTGGGAGGTAATATTTCCTTCATTTATTCTATAGCATTCCACAAACATTTGTGATGTACCACCTAATCTTGGGTGGAACTAAAATATTTTTTAAAAAATTACCTAATTTAAAACAATCACCCAATTTGCAACATTTTACAATACTTCAAGTTATAACTTGCTGTATCACAATGCCCAGGGCTAAGGAACAATAAGAACATCCAGAAGAGAAATTACTGTAGAAATAGGCATTTTGTGGTGGGGTAGAAAAGTTGGGCTCAGTAGTTGCATTTATAAAGCGGCTCATTAATAGTACAGTGGCTGGCACATCATTGGTAAGCAATAAAATATTTGTTGAATGAACAAATGCAGGTAGGGACCCTGTCTGTCGGATTCACAGCTGTATACCCAGCCCTTAGACTGGTGTCTGGCACATAAAAAAACATTTAGGGGTCGGCCCTGTGGCTGAGTGGTTGGATTTGCACGCTCTGCCTCCACAGCCCGGGGTTTTGCTAGTTCGGATCCTGGGCGCGGACCTACCACCGCTCGTCAGGCCATGCTGAGGTGGCATACCACATGCCACAGCTGGAAGGACCCACAACTAAAGTGTACAGCTATGCACTGGGGGGCTTTGAGAGAAGATGGAAAAAAAAATTTAAATGTTGGTGGAATAGCGAATAACTAATTAAATGTATTTATTCTGCAATCACTTATATTGTGATTATACACAAATGTGATGTGCAGATTCAGTATTAAAACCTCAACTGCTGCTCAAGAGGCCCGGATTTGGTTCCAAGCCAGTGCAGTGAAACTTTTCCACTAGAATGTAAGCTCCATGAGACAAAACTTTGTCTGAGTTAGTTGTTTCTTAATGTTTTTAATAAAAATACATTAGATGAATGAATGCTAACTTCCAGCAGTCTATTCGGGAAAAAACCCACAAAACACTGTGAAAGAAAAACCCAAGTTCCTCTGCTGTAGTAACAAGTATCTTTCATGCCACCATTTTGAGACATGTTAGCTCAGAATTCCTAGCCTGTGAGAAGATGGTACCATGCCTGATGTCCATGCAGCTGGGCCAGCACCTCTGATTAATTTTTAATCCAACTTTTATGAGTTTTCTCAGTGTTAACCATAATCCAAGTAGGGGGTGTATAAATTTAAAGCAACAACAACAAAAAGATTGTCTTTCAGGAATGAAAAATAAATGTAATCTGAAATCAATATTTATGAAGTTGTGATTAATTGACTGATGACCAAATGATTACAAAACGTCTGTCTGAAACATCTACTCAAATTTATTAGCTTTGACCAAAAAAATTAAAAAACAATCTGAACTGGGTCAATGAAAGAATAATGCATTCCTAATCAATTTTTAATAGCACTTAAGATTTTGTATTTTTTTAAACTTGCTTTTAAATAATTTATCATAAAAATGAATCTGATTTAAACAAGGGGTAAAAGGTGTTCCATTGCTATTTGATGGTTTTCTTAGCAAAGAAATTCAATTATGACTGACTTTTTATTACTGAACTACTTTATTAATAATAATACATCTTGCACTTACACGAAGGCATTGGGCCAACAATCTCAGAGTCCAAGTGAGACTGAGGATTTAGCTCCAATTCTACCACTACCTGGTAGTTTCCTTATCTAGGCCTCAATTTCCTCATCTGTGACAGAAAAGGCCTGCATAAAAAGCTCTAAGATCCTTTCTAGCTCTAAAAGTTCATAATTCTAAGGATTTAGGAGGTTTCAGCCCATCCCAGGAGCTATATCTGATAGAACTCCTCAGATCACAGGATTTCCCATAAGGCTACTAAGAAGTTGAGAAAGAAATTAAGCAGAAAGTCAAGGAGCTACGCAATCTTTGTTTTCCTATTAGAGTAAGTGGCATCATTATTTAATCATTTTGGCCAAATGACATCTATTTAGAACATGATTTGTCGAAAAAGGAAATCCCCTTCGTAGAGTAGAGGGAAGAGAGAATTTCTGGGCTTAAACTGTTTGCATTATTAAAAGCAAAGCCTGGGAATTGGCCTGGAATCAACCTGGACCAAGTGAGAGTCCTAATCAGCCTGTATTGCTAACAATTTTATCTAGATGTGTATTTGTGTGTGTGTAGGTACTTATCCACAAAGCATTAGTGAGCAAAGAAGGTATGTTTATGGTATGATCCTATTTGTGCTTATGCACGCAGTAATATATGAATTAAAATGTTTAAGGATATGCTCTAGAATGTTAATAGTGATGACCACACAGGGTAGAGAGACAAGGCATAAGTAGAAAGCAACCTTTGCTTATTATTTTATAAATTTATAAATAGCTTAATTTTAAGATAAGCCTTCTTATTTTTACAAGTAGCAAAAAAGCAATGCAGTCTTCCATTTTGAAGTGAAAAACAAGTAAAGACAATGTTTAAAACAGCCTGGGGGGGCTGGCCCTGTGGCCGAGTGGTTAAGTTCGCGCGCTCCGCTGCAGGCAGCCCAGTGTTTCGTTGGTTTGAATCCTGGGCGCGGACATGGCACTCCTCATCAAACCATGCTGAGGCAGCATCCCACATGCCACAACTAAAAGGACACACAACGAAGAACATACAACTATGTACTGGGGGGCTTTGGGGAGAAAACGGAAAAAATAAAATCTTTAAAAAACAAAAAAAAACAGCCTGGGTCTGTAATAAAGGTAGTTTGCAGCTAAAGAAAATATTACAGTTTGTGGAATAGTTACTTAGTACCAGACAGCAGAAAAATCAGATACAATCCCCGACCTCAAGAAACAGAGTCTGTTGTGGGGGCAAACACATAAACAACCAACTATAATGCAAAGTGATCAGCACAGAAATAGCTATATGGACACCACATTAAAACAGCACTGAGAAGCTGTGACAGTGAAAGTAAATGTGGAAAGAGATGTTGGAAACAGTCTAGATTTTAACATTCTACTTAAAACGTATGTTATAATTGTTAAAATTTATCTTTGTGACTGAGTATTAATGCCAGTCACCAGGATGACTAAGAAGAAGTGAACCTGCCCTAGTAGCAACGAAAAAGTCTGTCTTTTTTGAAGAAGAAGATTGGCCCTGAGCTAACACCTCTTGCTAATCTTCCTCTTTTTGCTTGAGGAAGATTGTCACTGAGTTAACACCTGTGCCAATCTCCCTCTATTTTGTATGTGGGATCCCGCCACAGCATGGCTTAATGAGCAGTGTGTAGGTCCACACCCGGGATCCGAACTCAGCACCTCTGGACACCAAAGTGGAGTGCTCAAACTTAACCACTACACCACCCAGCTGCCCAGGAAAAGTCTTTTTTAAAAAAAATTTGTTTTCAACATCTTCCTGCTGCACTGTTTCCAGGGATGGATGTGAAAGGCAGAATATTCTCAGATTTACATCCCACCCAGTGGGTGGGAATGACAGGCCCTAAAATACTACCTTAGGTATAAGTAAGGTCAGAACAATGTGAGAACAGGAAGAACAGAGCAAAGTGGGGAAAAGGTGAACTTCAGTGACAGTGCATCATGATCTAGAGCTTTCTCATTCTGAAGCCTGAGATCTACAACCAGGAACGTGAAAGATGCATTAGCAAAACATGTGAATTCTAGACTCCATAGAAATATGGTTTCAAACAGCCAGGAAATAGCCAAACCAGAAGACTTTTATGCCAGACATTGTGAAAAAATGGCCATTAAGCAAACAATCAATACGATTATTTTGCCCAGTTCTCCAATTCTAAGCATATGATGTTCTCCAATACCTAGGAAAGTAAGTTACTGAGCTGTTTGGAAGAATTTTCAGTCACCTGTGAGTTGATTTTGAACTGGTCTTGGGCTTCTTCAAGTGAATTACTAGCTGCTCCAATATCATTATTGTCTGTTCCTTTTATATACATGATAGTAAGCATACACGGACCTCATTTAATACGCACACACACACACACACAAACACATTTTACCAGGGAGAAAGCTAAGAAGCAGAGAGATTAAATTGTCTGAAGCCAGTAGAGCCAGGAAGGCGTTCCAGGTGAGATTTCTACCTTCGCACTCCAGGTCCAGAACCCCTTTCTTTTAACCATGAGGCTGCTTCTTGTGATTATATTGCCTCTTTTTCCAAAAGATTAGTAACAGTAATTCCATTGGTTTTGTTACTAAATCTCCCTACTCACAGAATATATTTGTTTGCGTAAATGGATCATATTGGCTCTTCCTCTCTTAAAGTGAGCTGCGGTTAAATTCCAAAGCTGTTATATTCAAGATTCATTTAGGAACTTTTAGAGTTTTTCTTTTCATTGGTAGGAAATGCTAACTTATAAACTCACTGACTCTCCTTCAGAGTTCAACAGCACAGTAGTACGTTTCATATCCAGCATGCACCTGAAAGGAAGGCTTTAAACCCTGGTGCAACCGCTTTCTGGGGTGTGGATGGCTCGCACTATTTGCACCCTTGTCACTTGCGGATGTAAATCACAGTCAGTAGCGCTGACCCTTAAGTCTCTTTTAGATAAAAATCACAGAAGGACCAGCGGTGAAACCGTGTCGTCAGGGAAAGCTGCGATTAAATGTATCCCAAACGTCTCGGAAACAGATAAACAGTCAATCACTGTTTGTTGTTTTTAAGTGACTTACATCATTTAATAATGGGAAGAGAGCTGAGAGCAGCAGAGTGTTGCTTTGAAAAATTAAAATGTATCGATAACGCCTTTTCTCTTCCTGTTTTGACGGCGTCGTATGTTTGCAGACTGTGTAGGGTTTAATCTGTAGGCGGAAAACTATTCAGCAATCCCACCCTCCCGGAAAGATTCATGGATTTAAGATAGCCTTTCCGCATCTTTCTTTTCTCGCTCCACTATTACTCTTTTTCATTTAAACTTTCAAGATCCTCGATGCCTGTAGTAAACTGCCTTCCTTCCCATTCTCAGGAATCGTTCAGCTCCCGAACAGGGGAAAGTTTTTTAAAAAATGAAAGGAAGGAAGGAGCGTAAAACCCTCGGCGACCGCGCGTTTCAAAAGCGCGTTTTCGTTTCCTTTCCCGGCGGGCTGTGGCCCTGCAGGGCTGCCGTAGCCGGCCGCGCGCGGCCCCAGTCGCAGCGAGGAGCCCCGGTCGGCGGGACTTCCGTGTTGGCGGGATTCTGAACGCTGCCATGGCTCAGACCGTGCAGAACGTTACATTGTCGCTCACTCTGCCCATCACGTGCCACATTTGCTTGGGGAAGGTAATGGGTGATTCCGGGCACGGCTACGAAAAGGGGTCGGGTGTGAAGTCGCCCGCCGGAGCCAAGGGCGGTCTCGCTGTGTGGCGGGGACGGGGCGTGAGGGGCCGAGATGGGTGAAGACGCTACCCCGCATTCTCCTCAGGCGCCGGGAGGCAGCGGCCAGGGGGACGGAGGGAGCGCGCCGTGATGAATGGGTCCTCTGTGAGCCTTTTGAAGGAGGAGGACAGCAGCCTGGGGGCTGAAGGGAGGGCGGCGAGGCGACTTTGCCACCGCCGGCGGCCGCGCCCGGCCGACTCCGGGCCTGGTCTAAAATGAATCGCAGCGCTGTTCAGGCCCCTGTGCAACCCCGTGCGGCGTGTGGTGAAGCCGGTTAAAGCACGTTTCCTGGGAGCCTCGCCTAAGGCTCCTCCGTCCCCTGAACAACTCGAGTGTCACGTTCTTGGGCCTGCAGTGCCAGTTGGGGAGCCTTTTCTGTTTCCAAGATCCTTTCCTTTGCTGCACCCGGCTTCCAGAGTGGCCTTTGCTCTGGGTTCCAAATTTGAAAAATAAGTAGTACGTGCCCCTGAATGGTGTTTACAATGAGAGGCATGGTCTGTGATTCCAGGAATGGATCAGTTACGAGACAGAATACCCTCTTTGTGATGCAAGAGGTGCCTAACATGTACGTGAAACAGGGTGGAGAAAGTAGTTCAGGATTAGAAACAGAGTCTTGAATGTTCTAATATATTCGTCTCTTTCATTTCCGTCTGTGCCTCCCATTCGGTTTGTAAAAGAGCATTTCTTTACCGCCTAGATCAAGAAGGGAGAAGATACTGTGAATAATCAGATTTTTTCCCCCGCCCTGAATTGTTTTTACGTTTGTAGGGGTGTTTGTGTGTGTTTACTCCCACGTGCAGACTGAAGCTACAGCCACAGGCTTAAAACTGAGCAGTATAAACTTTCTAGAGCAGACATTGAGTGTCAGCCACTACAATCGTGTGCCTTAGGTGTTTGGGGTTGTGTGAATTTCTTGAGTTCAAGCAGTAGTAGGAAGTCAGGCTTGGAAGTAACTGATAACTCTTATGTCCGTCAGAATGAAATGCCAAGGAAATAGCAAATGTGCTGTGAGACTATAAAGGGGATGGCTTGATCAATTCTGACTGGAGAGAGCAAGGATGCCCTGGTGGAGGGTGTGTTTGAGCTAGAATTTGCTACTACTGCCTACATACATAGCTGGGAGGACGAAGAGATGATGTTTCCCTTTGCTACAGTCTGCAGTTGGCTCCTGACATGAAGTTCCCATAAGTATGTATTAAATTCTGGGTGGATTTCCTCTCAACAGTAGCCTTTAAGGCTGATAAAAATATCCTTAGGAAATAATTTTCACTTGGTCTTAGTTGTACACATTATATCTAGTTTCCATTAGTTAATAGGCTGTCTTTTGCAATTGTGTCGAAAATGTGTTGTCCGTGGTTGGTTTCCCATACCTATACTTTTTGTTTTTAACCAAAATGATACCTAATAGGATAGTGTGCAGATTACAGAATGCTTTTGTATGCATTTAATTATTTCATTTACCCCCCTTGTCAGTGCTGTGAGATGGATAGGGCTGGTTTCCCCATTTTTTAAATAAGAAAACTAAGGCTTAGAGTCACTGGCGTTTGAACCCCTCTAGTTAACCATGTGTGTCTTCAGTAGATTACTTCCTAGAAACTCATTTGAGCTAATCCATGACAAAAGAGGCATTTTATTCTGACGGACATCAAGAGTTAGCAGTTACTTCCAAGCCTGACTTCCATCACCTTGACAGATAGCACCTCTAGCCACCTCTGAGATCTGCCTTAAGATTCTTCCTTCCTAACCCCCTTCCAGATCATCATTCTTCTGCTGGCCTCACCATTTGTCTCAAAAATCTCACCATTAGTAATCTTCTCTTTTGATTGTTCAACAGGATTAGGGGTCATTATCCCTGGAAAGTCATTGTACGAAATATATATATATATATATATATATATATATATATATATATAAACGTTTTATATATCTGTAAAACCTTTAAAAAGCTAGGAGTAGGGGAGACCTTAAATCTGAAGAGAGAAGATAGATGCTGTTTGGGATGGCGATGGGGTAGAATGGAGAGGAAAGAAGTAGTGGACCTAGCCTAAGTATGCACATGGTCGGTGCTTTGTCTTTTGAATACAGATGTACTTAAAATTGGAAAGTTTTGCATTTACTACCTCTGTCTCTACCTCAGTCTCAGAAATGGATTCTGTCTGCCCAATAATGTTTAGCTATCGTGCCAGTATTGTAGTAAGAGCTCTACATGGCCTGAAGAAGTTAGGTGCACATCCTGTGGGAAGATTTATGTATAACGTATTCTTGCCTATTCCTCTTTAATTTTTTCCAATGCCTTGGACTAGTGGGCCAGCAAACAGAATATGGGAATGATCTAGCCCAGGATATCTGTTATGTGACATATTGGTACTGCCACCAGAATGCTACAGATCAGTTTATCTCTAGACAATTCCAGTCATTTATCGCATCAATTAGGAGTCAAGCTATGAAACCAAATTGTTGTTGCATCTAATGTACTTTTGTTGACTGTGTCTGTGTTTTGCCATGAGTGACAGCCAAATGTGGCCCACAGTTAGTTTTATTAAAGGATAAAGGAGGTTCTCGAGAGAAGTGCCAAGCAATTAGACTTCTAATGCTGTTTAACATTAATATATCATATTCAGTTATTCCTTAGTTGAGTGTGAGTACAGTTAGAGGTACCACACTTTAAGATAAATATAGAGTATTTTGAAATCATTTCAAAGGGAGTTGAAATTGAGGTTGGAATGTAGGTGGAATGGGATAGTGTTGGAATGAATGGACATGATTGTGAATCTTTAAATAAAATATTTTTCATTTGTAAGAGAATCAAGCTTTTGTAACTCTGCAATATTAAGATTTGTACTTAATATAAGAGGAAGCTTTCTGGCTGAAATAATCAGAAATAAAACCAGCTTCCTTAGGATGTGGGGTTTCTGTCTCTTGAAGTGTCCAGGAGTAGGGTGGACTGTTTCCCTCTAGGAATACTATGGGGAGGGTCTCTTCTTTCAAGGAGGACTTCTTGCTTTCCTTTCCACCCATATTGTTGATTAAAAATGTTTGAAAGATTAGGGTAGGAACAAAGCCTTATGTAACTTAGAATCCTCACTCTAGTTTGACTAAATTCATTAATCATTGTTCATTGAGGGCTCTTGATTGGCCAGCAAGTTATCCACCTCAGTCTGTTGAGTCCTCATTTGAATCCTGATTGCCTCTTAGTGCCCGGGAGTGGATTTAAGAACCAGCCTTGTACAGAATTGTCACAAGTAATTTGCTTTGAAAAAAGCCATATGGAGTACAAGCTTTACATTTTTCTCTCTTTTCCACATTAAAATAAGTTTGAAGAATGCAGACATTTTCAGAAAAGTATAACAGTGTTGTGTTTTTACATACTTAGTGTATAATAAAAAAATTAACTCAAAAAAGTGTTGATAGTTTTTAATACTTTTCAAAGTTGGTATGTAATAGCTGACATATTTACTTCACAAATAAGATTCCAGTTTATCCTTAAAGCCTTCTAGTAGTGATAAAGGTGGAGGAGGGGAGGTGTATTATCTCTCCTTTTCCCTAGACAGGAATAGGGACCTAGACCAATAGGCATTAAGTAACTTATTTCTTAGGATCATACGGTTTTAAAGTTCTAGGACCTAAATTCTAGCCCAGTGCCAAAGATTTCTTAAAACATAGCAAGAGCAATCCACGAGTTTTATTTTGAAAAGTTTCCAAATTCCCAAGGTTGACTAGGGGACCCATATTACAGTCATTTCTATACCTCAGCCTTCTTTTTCACAGTCTTTCTAGGTTTTCACTTAGTAAAACCCATAATGTTTTGAGATAGGTGCAAGAAAGAATACTCTTTGAAGAAGAAGGATTAGTTCTAGTCTCTAGCAAAGGTGACAAAAGGGCCGAGAGTTGATTTTAAGTGTAATTGCTAGGCCAGTTGATAAAGTTGATCTGTTGCCTTTTCCCTCCTGTCACCTCCTTCAGTGCCCCTTTTCTGCAGCCCCTACTGATCCCAGTGCCTTGATCCTAACTTTTTGCTTCTTTTAAGCACATATACTCTATTTCTTATTCCGAGATTATTGTTACTAACCCTGCTCTAGAGAGGAAAGAGCTGTTTCTTAGTTGAACGAGCGCTCAGTTTGCTGTTGAATCACGTTGAATGGTAGTTGAGGGGTGACTGCTCCTTATAACCTGAATCATTATTTCCTTGAGTCTTAGCTTCCACAACTGAAAATGAATCTGATACTAACCACATTAGATTGTTAGGGAAGTTCATGTGAATGTCCTAGACCAGTGCTTCTCAAAGGAGTGTGAGTGGATTTCATCTCCCAGGGACATTTGGCAATGTCTGGAGACATTTCTCATTGTCTCCAGGGTGGGTGCTACTCACATCTAGTGGATAAATCCCAGGGCTGCTGCTAGCTGAACGTCCTACAATATCCAGGACAAAGCCCTACAACAAAAGCTTCTTGGATCCAAAATGTTGGTAGTGCTGAAGTTGAGAAACCCTGTCCTAAACCAAGGTATAACTACTAGTAGGTGAGTCTAGGATGATATGGATATTAATGGATAATACCTTTAAACATGACTCCTCCCAGCTACATTTGTGTTTTAAGAAAGGGGTTTTGGTGGTAAAGTCAAGTCTCTTAAAACTGAAACATCTTCAGATAAAGAAATGAAACAATGTAGGATTATTATAGATTATAGGGTTAATCTTTCTGTTCCTAGGATTGTCCCCTCAGCGCAGTCTAGTGAGAACAGCCCATTTTTCATACCTTGTTTTCTCTTCTCTTCCTTCCCCTCCTCCTCCTCACTAGCCTCAGGGGGCGTTACCCTAGGATATCACTTCAACATGCTTACTCCAGATGAGTTTGGAATTGTACGTGTCACTTACCCTTGCTGTTGTCATCTTGCATTTTTATTTC